AACATGAAGAAGACTATTCGTAGTCTAAAGAGCATCTATGAACGAAGTGCCGACCTGAAAGTACGAGGAGGCCGACCAGGGACGACGCATGGGTTTCAAGGGGGATTAAAATATTCCCACTTGGGAGGTCATCATTGGACGATGGTGTAGGTAATCATGGCCTAGACCCCTACCAGCCAGCATGAGTCAGCAGGGCCATACAGCATTAAATGCACCCCATGCTGGCATTTAATGCTCGGCAGGCAATGATTGGAGAAACCTCAAATCGCATTAAATGCCCGTCAGACAAACGCCGAACTGCTCTGCCAAATTACTGTGCGACAAGACCAGCGAACAGTAGCTGAACAGTGCCTCATTAAAGACAGCTATAAATAGCAGTTCACTTCATTTATTTTGGGGTTGTTGAATTCCAACGAACTCTTGCCTTCTCTCTATTTTCTCTCTCTAAAAAACTGTAAGAAACTCACTGAAAGATTGTAAGTATATCGCAAGTGCCGACCTCGTACGAGAGGCCGACCTCGTGATCGTCTAATAAAATCGCAATTAAACCGGATTATTCTCCGCATTTTTCAGTCTCGCTTTCTATATCTTTTATTTTTAACCGTTGACCGAAAACGCTCGTCAACACAATGTTTGATCCAAAAACCCTCTTCTAGACCATTGAGCTAGGAAGGAAACAGCTGCATACATTGGAAGCTATCTCAAAAAAACTCAGGCCAACCAACAGACCCTCATTTTCTTCCCAACAGCAAATCACAAAGAGGACATAACACTCACCCAACAGTTTTCCCAAACAAAGCAACCTAAGGCCACCAATCAAATTGCTTACCTCTGCTGAAATGACAACAAGAAGAGAGAAGGGCCTCTGTTATAATTGTGATGAGCCTTACAGCTATGGGCATAGGTGCAAAAACAGGATCACTTACATGATCATGACAGAAGAAGAAGAAGAGCTTAACTGCTTAAAAGAGTGTTGTTCGCCTATATTTATAAAGCTCTACCGCAAGTGTACGGCTTCGCTCGTAGTATGTGGCAAGCAAGGTCGTATCCCAAGAGACCAAACAACCAATTAATCAAGTACTAGGTTGTGATAGTGCCAATTTTATCTAGACAACCGAATATAAGAGTGATTAACTAAACTAAGAAAATAATTCAAAAGATAAGAAATCAATAACAATAAAATAACTAGAAAAACACTTTAAGAAGAATATATGGGAATGGTAAATTCTAAGACTATGGGTTCAATTAACAGTTGGGTTCCTTCAAATATATCACAATTAACTATTTTCTTTATCTACCCTATAAGATGATCACAAAATTAGCCTACCGTCCCTCTCGAGATCGATAAATCCGTAGATTAAATCACATATATTAGCGTCTCCACTCAACACATGCAATTCAACTCCAAAAAGATTAAAAGACCCAAAATCCTCACAACTATCTACTAATCTCTCGATTCA